TTCTACAAATAAATTAAAAAATTATAATATGTTTTTTTTTGTTATATTATTTTTTAAAATTTTTTATATATTTTAGAAGAATATATGTTATCGTATTAATTTCGTTGATAAAATTTTAAAATTTCACTATCGATTAATGAGATAAATTTTTTTTTTGTATAGAATTAAGGATATAATAAGAACAATTTTGTTAGAAGTGGAACATTTAAATCATATTTATTGATTTATTCAAAACCAATTTTGTATATTAACATAATAATTCATGAAATATTTCATTGCCGTTAGTTTTGATTCAAGCATAACAAAAAATGAAAATACATTTAAACAATAATTAAATTCTCCCAACTTTCTTAGCTTTTACCGAGTAAAACTTTTCTCCAGGAGATTTCTCTTAAATTTGTTTCACTATAGAAAGGATGAAATGTGGAAAATATGATTTAATCTGAAAATTTATTGATGTTTACAAAATACTGTAACAATGAAATTGTATTCATGTGGGGTTTTTAGTTTTTTTTTTTTTTTTAATGAAAAATTTCATTATAGAACAAGTCCATAACTATAAAATATCATCTTAAAAAGTTTTACTTCTTACTCAAATCAGATTGAACGATTTAAAAGTGGTATTTTTTGACAATTGAGTACTGAAATATCTTTCATACAATTAGGATTAGTAATCCATTCCAAGACCTGGAGTTTAACATTTTCCCATGAATCATCAATTAATAGGAATCAACAGTTTTTCAAGAATCATTTTATTTTTCGAAATCTCAGATTTCCCGAATCATACGTACTCATTAATGTTAAAGATCAAGCTACTAGTACAACATTATGGCGTAATCCTTGGACCGACCAATCAAAGACATGCAAAAATGGTCATGCTATCATCTTTAACAGCTGGATGCATAATCTGATCAGACATGCAAAGCATACATTTACATCTTTTCTTTGTTTGAAATGTTTTGGTGTGTTCTAATATCCATACGTAATTCTCTCTATTTCTAATCACTAGGAACGGGGGATGTATAGTTCAATGGCAAGTAGTAACATACAATTTTAGTAAGTAATTTACGCGTAATAAAACGGCACTGGAAGAGATGGAGGTTTCTGTACTGTTATGGTCATCTTTTCTGTTGTCCATTGCTATGAACCTTGGGACCTGATCCCCCTGGCGTCAAAATCGGCAGGCTCTGCCCTGCCATTTTTTGCTGGCTTGGCTTCTGTTTCAAGCACTCAAATATAAGTACACCAACAGGTAGTTTTTGCTTAAGCAATAACAATATTTGCAGTACAAGAATTAATCAAGGGAGAGAATCAAAAAGAGGGAGGAATGCCATTACAGGAGATTCAACTTGAACGTCATCTTGATGATCATCAGAAGATTCGGGGATCAGGACCCGAAGATTGTACCAGTTGAGGTAACAAATAAGAAACCCGCTTATGCAAAAAAATAAGATCAAAAGAAGGGATAAACCGAGAGGAAACCCTATGGATGGCCTACTTGACAATTCTTCATTCTCCATCGTTCTTTTTTTCTTCTTCTTCTTCCTTCATGTAAATTATGATACGTAAATGAAAAATGGGAAGAAAATAGGTGGCTGGCTAGTAGGTGCAAAATCTCTAGAGCGGATAGTGGTGGGTTTTGTTTTTGGTAAAAAAAAAAAAAATCATTGAGATTCATGGAGTATACATTGGTGGGTTGCCGAGAGTTGGGGCACATCAATTTTGGACTAGGCACTTCATCAAGTACGGAATTTCCAGTTCTTACAATTTGTTGAATCTCTACATTGTTGGAGAGAATAAACTTCAAAGAATTTAGAGATGGGTTACAGTCTCTTATTTTTCGACCAATAAATTATAATTTAATTAAACAACTAAATTCTTACAACTTAAATTTAGTATTTTAAAATTTTAGAACCCACATTAAATCAAGATCTCCTTGCCACAATTAATATTAATCAGTGAGAAAAGTTGAATTTTCAAAGTCAGGCAGAAAAATTGAAAATTTGATTTCCAATTTCCAAGATGAAGATGTTTTGTTGACAGATACATGCAATGCATAATGATGAAACTTTACTGATAATATATTGAGTGACCTTTGTATTTGATTCTTTGTATATTAGTTTCTAGTCTTTTTTATGTCCAATCAACAATCATCCATCAATTCGGCTGCTTCTGCATTCCACTTTCGACCCAAAGTGGGGTGTGCAATCATTTGGTATGTAATATATATATTTACATCTAAGTAAAGGAATTGCCAGGTGGAGATGCAAAGTCATGGTCAGTAGAAAATTTTACCTGGTTTTGATGTTTCTAGGGATCCATGGAAAACAGGGTGCCTTACAGTAACAGAGCTACAGTTCAGAGCAATTTTGGTGCTAAAACGGTAATTCCATCGCTCTGCAAATTACTCTAAAACTATCTCAAATTGAGTCAAGGCAAACTTATTAAGTTGCCAGGACATGAATTGCTAGCAGCCGAAAGGCTAAGAAAGATCACATAAACATGGTTATTTAACCAATCCTAGTGGCATTATTATATGGATCCAATTTTTATTAACTCAATCAAATTCATTAACATTGTTATATAGCAAGTCAATTCAAATTTTGGGTTTTTTTTTCCCCAGAAAAAAATAGCATTTTCATTTCGCTGAAACGATCAATATTGATACAGGTACACAGTCTCAGATGTAGTAGCTAGCTGGTAAGGTATTTTTGATTGCATTGTGATTGCATAATTGGCCATCAAAATTTTCATGATTTGATAAAGGATGATGCTGCTGTAGGTCTTGTGACTTGGGCCCTATATATTTTTTTTACCAACAGACTGTTTTGGGCCTTCTAGGCCTAATTTCCTAAACTGCTTTTTAAATTGATTTCATTTTTTTTTAATAATTAAGACAGTGAGAGATAGACTATTGATGGACATTAGTACCATGCAGTGCCATTTGATTATTCCGTTGGCTGCTGAGAATGGGTAGCAAAGCTAGTCTAAATGCAGCTATTGTTTTGATCCACAAAATTTTCTTCCCCATTTTGGCTTGCAAAATAGTTGAATATAATTCCAACGGAAACATTTTCACAAATTACATCATGGTAATCTGATGTAGTATTTTTCTTGCATATTATCAAGCTAATGAATGGAAGTGTGCAGTGCTGTGAAACAGCTTTATTTAAGTGATTTAGGAACAATTATGGCCTTGGATTTTAAGAGAAGTAAACAAAGGATTGAGTGACAGAAGAACTGAATTAGCAGTTATTATTAAAAAAACTTCTGCTCCAGATGCTGGAATGTTATTGCTATTGTCAAAGATTTTTTTTTTTTGGCTCTTTTAGTTCTGTTCTACAAATTAAATGAACTCTAATCTCTTTTTGCTAGATGGATCCTGTTGCCTGCGAAACAACTCAGCACCTTCCTATCAACTCTGAGGAAATCTCTCAGCTTCTTCCTGCTGTTGGGATCTTTATCCAGCAATGGGTATTAATAATTGTGCCTTTCCAGAAAGTTTGTCCTCTTTTTGCGTCACATCAGAGGATTTCACCAATCAGAGTTTGCAAAGTGAGATAAGGGTCATATCAAAGCTCCAATCACAAATTCTCTATGTAGACATAAATTCGATAAAGCACGGTCAGAGAAGACAGCCTGATTTAACATTTAGTACAAAAGACCAGTAAAACTTATCCTTAGAATAAACAAATCCTCTTTTCTTTATATATGTTTGTGTACTGTGTTACTACTAGCTCTATGGTGGTCCACTTCTAGTTAAGCCTAGGGTACCTATTCTTTGATTGTATCTTTGGACATAAAATTTCATGCTTCCTTCAAAAAACATAGGGCATTCTTAATATGTTCTTTGTCTAATTTGCTCTCAGTTTTCAGGAATCAGGAACATGTTATTGTAATCTAGGTTAAAGTTTTCAAAAGCTGCATTTTTTGTTATCTTATGGCTTGCCCTGTTGCTTGGTTTGCACTCCAGAATCAGGTCTCTTGGCTCACGTTCGCAGACAGAATTGCTTGCAGGATCCCAAAAAATCCGCTCAGATTCATCTCAATGGTGTCCATTTTGGAGCTCTACTCCTTGTCATTGAGTATCAGCATATGTCAACAGCATTCTATCATGTAATATGAACATTTTTCATCAATAATATTCATTAAAGTCAACTTGTTTTTTCAAAGAGTTGTCTCAGCATGAAAAATCATGAGATACTTGCAACTAACGTCTGAAAGCATTATGGCAATTGTTGATGCTGTAAAAACTTTGCTTAAGTTTTCTAAAACTTTGGGAAATATATGCCAAAGCTATCTGATTCATGGATCTGAATGCTTCAGTTTTTACAGGCGGCAAACACTGGCAAATACCACTATCCTGTTCTTGATTATAGCTCTGATGCTGATGAATCTGACAATTCAGTTTATCATATGTATGTTGTGATTGCATCATATTCATCAGCACATGGAAGTAAAGCTAAAGGAATGAAAGTCAGTGAGTTTAGCTGTAGTATACAATCTTTATTTGTATTCTTGCTCATAATTTTAGTTTACCGCAGGTGAAATTTTTTTACTGCGGGTGAACCTCATTTGTCAAAAATGCTGTTTCCTTTTGTTGCATCAGTTATCTGCTTTAAATCTTTTGATTGAAAAACCCCAAGATTCCGTGTACAATATGTGCTTGCGCATATTTTTTCCAGTTGTATAGCTGTAGAATGAGTTGATAGCTTGCAAATGGAACTATCAGATACTTGTTATGAGAAAAAAAAGCAAAAAAAGTTGTTTTAACTGCGGAAACTCACTGCCCCACTCCTACCTGCTGAGTAAAAGAGAATGGAGAAAAAGTAATTACCTTTTCACCTTTTCCATTGTGGAAAATGGTAGCATTGCTTTTTCAAATGATTTACAAATGCTAAATCTATTATTAGAAAGCCATTTTTTGCATCTGAAAATTGTGTGCAAAAGAATCTTAAAACATTACTAACCCAAAATGCATCTGTTGATAAAGTATTGAATTCTTTGTTCGGATTTAAATTTTAAAAACCTTGAATACTAAAAAAAGGCCACTAAATGTTGGATGAAGAAAAGGCTAACAAAGAATTTTGCATTAACATTGAAGCAATTATTACAAAGCTCTGAAGACTAGAATTTCACTTATTTAAGAAGGCAAAAATTAGTCACAATCCTTCACTTCAAAAGCTCAGTGAAATAACAGAGAATTTGGAAGCATATAAAAAATTCACCAGAATTTGCTTCTTTTGTAGTCCTTTAATTTTGTTCATACAAACATCTTCCTCCATAGCCAGCATTTTTAAATAATGCCTGCTTTATGTCGTCAGAACTTATTAATGATTTCTGTTCCAAGTCCTGCAATGTTGACCAGAATGTATGTAAGATTGCAAGTTAAAAAGTTACAGAGGCTTAAAATGAAAGCGATTCAGAAACAAACTAACAATATTTTTTTTTTTGTTTACCTCTGAGCAAGATGCTTGCATTGCAAAATCATTGAAACAGCTAATAACACATTGTTGAATCTCAAGGCCAAATGTTTCCAAGGTTTTTATAGTTGATAACAACAATCCTGGTTGCCCTGCACAACAAATCTCAATTCTTGTATCCTCATTTCTTCTTTCCACCTCAAACTGCACGAAACAGGTATAGGAATTTAATTCAGGATTTGGGCATTTTGAAATAATGGTGCAGAAGAATCCAATACCTTTGGTGTGTTTCTCACTAAGATTTCATTTGGTTTTACATCCTTGAAAATGTGAGCCATGTTTAACCCATTTGAACCAGCTTCAATTTCTTGCTGCAAACTTTTGATCCTCTCCAGGAGCTCTTTCGTGTAATCTATAGTATCTCCAAGTATGGATGTCCTGTCCATCTGTTGAAGAGCAATGGAAGCAAAACCAGATTAGACCCCCATAAGAACTTGCATTTTGCGCAAGGAATATGACAATATGTGCTGATTTGAAAATTTTCATGGAAGTTTCATTGCTATTTACCTTGCTTATCTTAGGAACAATCGATCTTAACATCGAAAGACGGTCATTTAGCCGCTTTCTTCTCCTTCTCTCTGCCATTAGATTCTTTGAAGGCTGCCCCTCCAACTTCTTCGCTCGATTCTTGCGGTTTATACAGGCTCCAGTGTTGAAAACTGGTGCTGCAGGTGATTGGATACGCTCTGGTTTGCAAGTAGCTTGGACATCCAACTTGTGAAGTTCATCTACAAGGAAGCCTGATTCGTCTTCCTCCACCATATTCAACGAGTAATCTTCTTGAACTGGAAATGGGGGTGTATCAAATGTGTTATTTGATGAATCTGTTACTTGTAGTACAGAGAATTCATCACCAAGTGAACAATAGACTTCATTGAAGTTGTAATTGAAGTCCTGCTCAAAAGGCACAGATAATTGTTGACAGAAAGAATTTGGAACAAAACTAGCTGCAGGGTTCTCAATATCAAAGCAATCAAAGTTCCAGCCACTAGAGAAAATCTCATTCATTTCTGTTGGAATTGTGTCCCAACTGTCTCTTCTGAAAGCTAATAATTCCTCCAAGAAACCTTGTTCATAAATCTGATCCATCTCCTTTTCTCTCGGGAATGCTATTATTATTAGGACTTAGGAGATGCCTTGAGACATTCAAAGTCTCACCAAGTTGAAGAATATATATAGCTACACATGTAAAAGTGGGTCGAAAATAAAATATTCAATATATGATTTTGGTATGAATTATGTTGTAGTTATTAGCCCTCTGAGTACTAAGATTGAAATGGAATCTGCTTTTCCATACTCTCTTTCTATGAGGGGGATTTCATGTCTTTTTCACCGAAATCCTCAAAATTTTTTTTTGAAAAACGTAATATTTTAATTGGTAATTCCCCTGAAAACTTTGACCCATCTACTGATATTATTATTTGCCTTAGGCCATCCCATATGAACATGTAAAGCCAGCCTTCTCTCTCTCTCACAGTTTGACACAAGCACAAAATTTGCCGATCTGGGTCCCATTTCCTGCTGCCTCTAGAATTTGGCTTAGCTCACAAATTCAAAATTCGTTGTTGGGTGTGTTTTTGTTCTTTCCTGACGTCCTTTTCTTGTCACTAATGTTGTTATTATCAGCCTCGTTTTGTTTTTGATTATACATAATCAAGTAAGGCATAAGTACTGCTACACATCTCTCATGTTCATCATTTTAGAACATAGGAATGGTGACATCCATCCCATTCTCAGTTTCCCTCATCTCACCTGGCTGAAAAAATAATGGGATTTTTTTAAACATGATCAGGAACCTGAGGCCAATTTACAAAACTTCAAGCGAACTGTTTCTTAAAGGGATTGGTTTGGCAGCTGATATGCAAAAGGCTTTAATCAGTGCATGGATACGTAGAATTGTAGACTCCATAGTCTAGTCATTTTATTATGTAGAACAGATCAAGGTTAGAGGAAAAGATTTAGACAAAATTTTTTAGGTGAAGTTTGTAAAATTCTCTGGTAAAAATGATTAGTTAAAAATTAAAATTGAAAATCAAAATTAATAAATTAAAAGATCTTATCACATAGATTAAGTGAAAAAATTTAATAAATTTTGATATATATTTATAAGTAGACATTTAAAAAAAATGTTAACAAAATATTTACCATTAAATAAGTATTGAATAAATTTAAATTATAAATAATATTTTCAATAATTTTTTATATATTATTGATTTTTACATTAAATTCTATCAAATTATCGATTTAAATTTTTTATTAAAATTTTTATTAAATCATTTTTAAGAAGAAATTTCACTTAAAAGAACCTAATAATGTAATTTTTATCATAATGATCACAAAGAAGGGCAGTAATATATTTCTAATTGCACAGTTCTAGGTATATATATTTCATACAGGAAAACTTTTATAGGCCAAATATGTTTGATAACATATACTACTAAATAATTTTTTTTTTCAATTTAAAAATTTGGAAATAATAAGTAAACTTTATAGATAAAAAGAAAGTTACTTTTTATTATAGTATAAACGGTACAATGAATCTGTGTGCTGCTGACTGAAAGGAAAATTGATGAAGCAATTGCAATTCCATTGTCGTTATCAGTGAAATTTCAAGAATGATTATAAGAGAAATTATCACATCCATTCATTTAGAATGAAAATTTTTTTTCTTTAAACTCTATTACTATTAATAAAATTAATAAAATGACACATGTTATGCTTGTAATAAAAGCATAATTGCATGTGGAAAATGATGCCTTTAATCATAGATTCTTAGCAGCCATGGTAATAGTGACTAACTTTAAATTAAAAGAAGGAAATGAAGGTAAATTCTTTCCTTAGCTAATTATGGAAAAAGTCTGTAATTTTAATTTAGGTTTTTTTTGGACACTTTTGTATATATTTTATTTAAGAAAATAAAAAAGCTTTTGGGATTTAAAAGTAAGTGTTTTTTAATTATAAAAATATATAATTTTTTAAATGAAAAAAACACATAATTTTACTTTTATATAGATTAATTATTATATGTTTTACATCTTAATTATTTGTCATTGTTTCCCAAACGAAACAATTAAAAAAAAGGTGAGAGGATTAATTATTAAATAAAAACAATTAATAAAAAGATCAAATTAACCGATGCTTATAAGTATTGATTAAAAAAAGTTACATTTAAATATTATTTTTAGTAAATTAAAAATATATAAATTAATTATATATTTTCTTAAATATCAGCTTAACCTATTAATTAAACACATTATTATTTCCCTTAATAAAATTATTAGTCGGTTTAAATTTTAAAGTACTGTAGCAAAGTTGAGATATCTACCACCATACGTGTCTCAATCTCACATCCCCACGTGTAAATGTACGGAATCTACCTCGTAAAGAAACACAGCCAACAGCCTACAGGTCCATGAGTCATTCCCATGCATGTTCTAACCAAAACATTGGGAAAAAAAATAATAATTTAATTTAAATGCTAATTAAAAAAAGAATAAAAACCAACTATACCTTTCCATCTCTCTCATTTTTTAGTATTATTAAATTAATAATTAATTCAGAGAGCTTTAATTAAATATAAATTTTATAATGAAAAAAAAAAATTTTCAACAACTTATATTTTGTCTAAACAGAAGAAAAGAAAGTTTTGTGTTTCTTTTTTTTTTTTTTTTTTAAGATGTAATGTCAAATCAATAAGCAAAAGAAGAGATGTTTTTGTTTTGGTCGACATACTATATGCATGTATATAATTTCTTTCATTTTGAATGTCTTATCGATCTATCAAAGATCATCACGGATGAAACATTATTATTTCACTTTACTCTTTCCTTTTTACTCATTTTGTTTGAAAAAAATTGTTCTCCAAAAATCCATATGTATATTTCAATTCTTCGTTGTTTTTTTTTTTTAACAAAAGAGTTTATAATTTGAAAATAAAAAATTAAGATTACAAGTATTAAAATTTACATTTTTACATGTTAAATATGATCTTTTAGATTATATGAATCAAGTTAACTTCAAATTCGATTCTTGATGTTTCATTTGTTTGATTTTGTATAGGTATGAAAGCAATAAATAGATAAGTGAGGCTTGTCCAGCTAGTTGTTTCATGGCATCTTTCGTTCAAGACATGCATTAATGTTGTTTCTTGGCATCTTTCCTTAGTTATTAAAATTAAAAATAATAGTCAAATTGAAACGATCAGTTAAAAACTTCATTAATGAGATAATAAAATTACAAATTCAAACAAATTTATATACGTAATATCTCTTTCAATCAGATACAATAATAAAATAAAAAAAATTTAAAGATAAATTAAAAATAAAAAAACTCCATTATTAGCTTCTTAATTTGTATATATATGAGAGTGTTTCATCTTTTAATTGATGATTTGACTGATAACTGGCCATTGACAACCAAAACCATTAACTTGTCTGTTGTAACCTATGATCAACCTATTAGTCCATATTCCCCCATCCTTTTTTTCTCTCTTTTTAATAGCCTTTCTTTGATACTTATATCCTTTTTAACAGTTGAAATTATTGTAATATGATTCTAAACAAAATAAGCAGGAAGTAGAGAAAAGGTTTTTTCTTCTTCTTTTTTTCTCCTCTCTTTATTAGATACATAGAGAGAAGATGCATGATTTCAATATTAAATTTACTTTTGTTCAGATAGATTTGAACCAATATTGTTAATATTTTGGATTGAAAAACAAGCATATCATGTTGAATGTTAAGATTTGAACCAATATATACTCAAATTGGATTTCTTTAATGGGAGAAAGGTTAAAAGAATACGTATAATATATATTAGCTTTTAAACTCTACAAGCAAGTTACCATGTTGAATGTTTTATCATATATTATATTAATCAATGTTATTAATAATTATTGATGCATCATTATATTTGAATGTATTATTATGCATCCATTTGTAAAAATGTGAATTCAATAATAGTGATAAAAGCGAGATCCTAGCTGACATTTTGTTTAGCTGTTCCACCACACTATATTCACAATGTTTTATTAACCTCATGAACTCACAAGCCTCTTTTTTCAGAAATGGGTTTCTGGTACTCCTGACTTGGCACTGCCATAGAATCTTTCCCATTCCCTTCTTTCTCTCCAACTTTTACTTTCTGCTTTGTGGCCTTCTCTAACATTTATGAAGAATAACACCTTCCACTCTTAATCATGTCGCCTGCACCAATTATGTTTGTAGTATCAGAATTGCTCGACACATTTTCCCTATTAATCTTGGTGTTACAACATCACAGTTGTATTTTTAAGGGATCGCTTTATTACTCTGGTATGGGAAAAAACTAAGGATTTTGAAGGTTATAACTGATTTAGATGTGGGTTGATTCTCCACTAGCTTTGGCTTCCTATAATATGTTGTTATTAGTTTTGGGGCAAGCCTTGGAACCTGTTCGGTGGTAGATATTTCTGCATTCATCGAGCTATCTTTGTCTTCGTATAGCTCAACTTGGAATGAGTCTATCAACTGCTATAATACTTGACAAAATTGATCACAGTCTTCGATTGAATACCTCATGGCTCCTTTATGATATTTACATGTTTGAGTTAGGTTATGCTTTTCATGGTAAGTACGTGGATCTATCAGATGCAACATATTTCCTCGAATAAAGAATCAAACACCTTGGCTAAATGGGTCTTGATCTCATCCATTTTTCTTTTGATTTAATTGGCTTTATCCTTATGTATGACATTAATTGTTGCTCTAGTATAGGTTGGCAAATGATTATCATTTACATTAAGTGCCATTTTTCTTCAAAGCTTATTATACCTTTTTTTTTATCAAGTTTTGTATTTTATGTTTCAAAGAGATGTAGTTCTTAGTAGAATGGCCTATAACCACGTAGTGATAATCACAATGAGCATTTGGGTTATACCATTTAGAGAAAAGTGATTTCATGAGATCTACAGGAATACGAGCTACTAAAATTTTCTCATTGAACTGTGGGAGTAAGTCTATATAAGGCATGGGGATCAAGTTAAATGTGACTTTTTCCTAATTATTTTGTGGTGCTCTTGAATTATTTGGCTGGGTATTTGATTTAAGGGCAAATCTTGCCTAGGGTATAGTAGATGAGTTGTATATGTGAGCGGATGGTTGTGGTTGAAATGTGGATTGGTAAACCTGCTGGTATGATAGTTGATATGAGCAGTGGGTAGCGATTACTTGGGCTAGATACATGGGTTAGTTATAAAAAAAAACATAACCTTTGAATTGTTGGCCCTCATAACTCACAACATGAGCTTTTCCTTCTTTCTTCTTAGGTAGGGCACCTTTTTTACACTAGTTATCTTTCCTCTATATAACTTGCTTTTCTTAATGGTATTTTCAATTATCTCACCTGATATAACCATGTCGACAAAGTTTTTCATAAAATTTTCTATTAATCTTTC